TGGAGGCCAGCCACACTCACAAAGTGGAGGCCAGCCACACTCACAAAGTGGAGGCCAGCCACACTCACAAAGTGGAGGCCAGCCACACTCACAAAGTGGAGGCCAGCCACACTCACAAAGTGGAGGCCAGCCACACTCACAAAGTGGAGGCCAGCCACACTCACAAAGTGGAGGCCAGCCACACTCACAAAGTGGAGGCCAGCCACACTCACAAAGTGGAGGCCAGCCACACTCACAAAGTGGAGGCCAGCCACACTCACAAAGTGGAGGCCAGCCACACTCACAAAGTGGAGGCCAGCCACACTCACAAAGTGGAGGCCAGCCACACTCACAAAGTGGAGGCCAGCCACACTCACAAAGTGGAGGCCAGCCACACTCACAAAGTGGAGCAGCCACACTCACAAAGTGGAGGCCAGCCACACTCACAAAGTGGAGGCCAGCCACACTCACAAAGTGGAGGCCAGCCACACTCACAAAGTGGAGGCCAGCCACACTCACAAAGTGGAGGCCAGCCACACTCACAAAGTGGAGGCCAGCCACACTCACAAAGTGGAGGCCAGCCACACTCACAAAGTGGAGGGCAGCCACACTCACAAAGTAGAGGCCAGCCACACTCACAAAGTAGAGGCCAGCCACACTCACAAAGTGGAGGCCAGCCACACTCACAAAGTGGAGGCCAGCCACACTCACAAAGTGGAGGCCAGCCACACTCACAAAGTGGAGGCCAGCCACACTCACAAAGTGGAGGCCAGCCACACTCACAAAGTGGAGGCCAGCCACACTCACAAAGTGGATCGACTGGTTTATTAATCCGTGTTCATACTGGTTGTCTAAGATATAACAAGATAAGATCTCTCCATTTTAGTTAATATATATATGTAGTCTAATACTGTAGTGAATGTCTGCTAATCAATAATTTTGATTAACTACATATATATATAAACATAAACCCCTCATAATATGCAAGGCAAGCGATTTGTGAGAATTTTAAGAAATACAGTCCGCTTTTCATACAACCATCATACAATTTGCTATCGAAATATATAAATTAACGTAAAATATAAATTCTATATAAATTTATATAAATTAAATATAAATCTCACAGGTCAATTCCCCACGCCATTCTCTCAGTCACGGTGGCCAACAAAGAATATAAAATTAATTATTTTCATCGTCTAGATAGATAATTGAGATAAAGTGTGATTGTAAGATCAAGATAGATAATTGCTATTATTGACAATAATTATAGTATTGATTAAATTCTTTATTGCAATTTGGAAATGACGTCACAGGAAGTTCAATTATATTTAAATTTAGCAGCCTCATCTTGGAAGATTTGAGACCCATGAAGAAAGTCACGAAGGCCATACCTAGGCCTATTGGTGGGTGTGACCATTGTGGTGTTGACATGGACGTATGATTCAGTAGTAGTATAGTAGGCATCCATCAGTCTCAGGAGACCATGGAGTTGCACTCTGGTTGTCGGACTTGAGAGGCCTATCCAGGGCGCAAAGCCAGGGTAGGTTGATTACGAGGGAGAAGCTGTCGCCCATGCAGCAGGTCCCCCCTTCCCTTCTTCACGGCGCCGAAAGTCTCTAATGGAAAGGCAAACGCCAATACGACTGGTTCCAGAGCCGTCGCAGGAACTGTCAGAACGAAGTTGGAAGCAACTACGAACTCTCCTAGGGAGCTCCAGCTCCGGAGGTGACCTCGAATTGGTAAAAGAAGGCACAGAGACTCCAAACCTGGAGACCGCCGTGGTCGGGGCCGGAGAAGAACCATCCCCATCAAGGGCAAGAACGACCCCAGCCTCCTGTAAGAAGCCTCGTCCAGCCAACACGCTTGCTCGAGCACACGCGCACGCACACACACACACACACACACGCACACACACACACACACACACACACACACACACACACACACACACACACACACACACACACACACTTCCTGCGAGTCACGGTTCCTGAGGGATGCCAGTCTCCCCAGATCATCAGCACGATTCCGATTAACGTACACAGTGTATATAATATTTCATATTCGGGCATTAATGTATATTTGGTGTTAATTGGTGAGGACGAACGGCAAGTCGTCCGGAACGGGTAGACTTCAATTCATCATATAAAATATTCTTATTGTCATATCTCCCACACGTTGTTATTGCTCTTCTACAATGTTAACTTTCGTCAGATGAAATATTGACGAAAGGAAAAATTGGTAGTATCCTAACTGGATTTCAAGTGATATGTCACATGATTCATCGCCATGGTCTTTAAGGCGACTGAGCGTACGTGATCTGGACGGGTCCAATATTGTGAAGCAGACGGCATTCTACAAAACCAGCTAAGCCTAGCAAAACTTATTTAACTGTTCATGTAGAGACAGATTAACAGAAGAATATTACCAATCGATTAATTTCGACTTGGCAATCCATAAAAATTACCCCAGCCGGGCTGTGAAAGGAAGCTACTAGTAGAGTGTATGTATATACATCCTATATACACACAGTTCACTCTATAAAGTCATAAATCAATAATAAATGAAATATAAATAATTTGTATAACGGAGGGAAGGGAAGGTGTGGGGGAACAGGGGAAGTGGGAAGGAGAATGTTCATTGTTTTTGCTGTTTTTGTGGCCGTGTGTCGCTATATACATTCTTTTGTGCTTTGTTCTGCTTGACTGTTCTTGTGGGTCGAGTTGTTCTCTCTCTCTCTGTCTGTCTCTCTCTCTCTCTCTCTCTCTCTCTCTCCATCTCTCTCTCCATCTCTCTCTCTCTCTCTGTCTCCCTCTGCTCAACCACTTGGGGTGGACGGTAGAGCGACGGTCTCACTTCATGCAGGTCGGCGTTCAATCCCCGACCGTCCAAGTGGTTGGGCACCATTCATTCCCCTATTCCCATTCCTAATCCTTATCCTGACCCCCTTCCCAGTCCTTTATAGTCGTAATGGCTTGGCGCTTTCCCCTGATAGTTCCCGTCCCTTCTGTCTCTGTCTCACAACCACCACCAAGACTACAAACGCCACAACAACCAAAATTACAACCACCACCACCACCAAGCCAACCACCACCACCACCAAGCCAACCACCACGCCCACAACGACCATCAGTACCACCAACATCAACGCCCTAGAGGAACACTTCTGCCCCATCTTAAATACATGTTGCTTGTTGAGGCTCCCAACATTACAGTTCACCTTAGCGAGGCGCCCGTGGTGCAGCAGCCCGTCCTCCCAAGGTTCTCCAACCTCAAGAAAACGGTCAATGTAAAGTGCCCTTATCCTAACCTACCAGAGGACCCAAAACAGAAAACGGGACAGTACGTCACTTTTGCTAGCCGCTTCCATTTTCGAGTACGACAACTGTTGACTTTATGAAACGTATACGAGCGAAAAGCGACGTTCTCTGTAGGAGGACAGGTAGACTCCATCTACTTCGAGGTAGATGGAGTCTTCATGGAGCTGCATGAAGAAGAGGGAGACGAGAGGAGGGAAGATAGGGAGGGAGGAGGGAAGAAGAGGTATATATATATTAGCGTAACATTATGGCATAGAGTTCCTCCGTATTTGGGCGTCTTCAAATTAGTTTTGCACTCTTGTTCTTCCCTCAGTACTCAGAGCTCACCCTTACCCTTCTCCTCCTCACTTTCCTTCCCTCACGCTTTCTCCGCGCCTTCGTTCTCTCCCTCTCACTTTCATATCTAATTCGTTTTCCTTTACGCTCTCAATTATGCATCAGCTAGGTTAAGTTAGACTTGGTTAGGTTGGGTTAGCTTCGGTTGGGTTAGGTTAGGCTAAGTTAGGTTACGGTATTTTTAGGTTCCGTTGGATTGGGTTGGGTTAGGTTGAGTTGGGTTAGGATGGCTAAGGTAGATGAACAGTTTTGATTTTGTAGTCAATTAGACCACAGCCTGTCTCCTAAATAAAGACCCAAAGTCCATTCCATGCACTCACCAAACCCGCTGCTTATGAATGACAAACGGTTTAGACACGACTCACAACTGGTGACGTTCGAACACTTCCGGAACAAGTGCTTCGCTGACGAATTTTGTTCGAATCACAACGCTGTAAACGCTGTAAAAGTCCTCGACTCAAGTTCATTACATCCAGCGGTCAACCCCACAGACGCATTAATATATTTTAACATGCTGTTCATTCAAAACGGGAATTTTCTCAAGTATAAATTAATATTATAATATATTGGCATATTGTGTATATATAGGCATAGGATAGGTTAGGTTAGGTGTTTAGGTTCTGTTGGCGATTATTTGTATTTGTAGTACGTGAGTGAAGCATTTATAGCGTTGTGATTCGAACAAAATTCGTCAGCGAAGCACTTGTTCCGGAAGTGTTCGAACGTCACCAGTTGTGAGTCGTGTCTAAACCGTTTGTCATTCATAAACAGGGGGTTTGGCGGGTGCATGGAATCACTTTTGGATCTTTGTTTGGAGGACGGGCTGAAATGCTCAGCTCGTACTCCAAACAAAGATCCAAAAGTGATTCCATGCACCCGCCAAACCCCCTGTTTATGAATGAAAAGCAGTTTACACACAACTGCTGACGTTCGAACATATCAGGAACAAGTGCTTCACTGACGAATTTTGTTCGAATCACAACGCTATAAATGCTTCACTCACGTACTACAAATACAAATAATCGCCAACAGAACCTAAACACCTAACCTAACCTATGCCTATATATGCACAATATCTTATAATATTAATTTATATTTGAGAAAATTCCTGTTTTGAATGAACAGCATGTAAAAATTTATGAATGCGTCTGTGGGTTCGACCGCGGGATGGAATGGACTTGATTCGAGGTCGGGTTACCTTCGACCCTTCCTTCCACAGGGCCCTCCATGCACTGCACGCCACGCACGCCCAGGGCCCTCCATGCACTGCACGCCACGCACGCCCAGGGCCCTCCATGCACAGATCACCACGCACGCCCAGGGCCCTCCATGCACTGATCACCACGCACGCTCAGGGCCCTCCATGCACTGATCACCACGCACGCTCAGGGCCCTCCATGCACCGCTCACCACGCACGCCCAGGGCTCCTCCATGCACCGCTCGCCACGCACGCCCAGGGCCCCTCCATGCACTGCTCGCCACGCACGCCCAGGGCCCTCCATGCACTGCTCACCACGCACGCCCAGGGCCCTCCATGCACTGCTCACCACGCACGCCCAGGGCCCTCCATGCACTGCTCACCACGCACGCCCAGGGCCCTCCATGCACTACTCGCCGCGCACGCCCAGGGCCCTCCATGCACTGCTCACCACGCACGCCCAGGGCCCTCCATGCACTGATCATCACGCACGCCCAGGGCCCCTCCATGCACTGCTCGCCACGCACGCCCAGGGCCCTCCATGCACTGATCACCACGCACGCCCAGGGCCCCTCCATGCACTACTCACCGCGCACGCCCAGGGCCCTCCATGCACTGCTCACCGCGCACGCCCAGGGCCCTCCATGCACTGCTCACCGCGCACGCCCAGGGCCCCTCCATGCACTGCTCACCGCGCACGCCCAGGGCCCTCCATGCACTGCTCACCGCGCACGCCTAGGGCCCCTCCATGCACTGCTCACCGCGCACGCCCAGGGCCCTCCATGCACTGATCACCACGCACGCCCAGGGCCCTCCATGCACTGCTCACCACGCACGCCCAGGGCCCTCCATGCACTGCTCACCACGCACGCCCAGGGCCCTCCATGCACTACTCGCCGCGCACGCCCAGGGCCCTCCATGCACTGCTCGCCACGCACGCCCAGGGCCCTCCATGCACTGGGCCTCCATCTCGTGCGCAGTCATCCAGCTACCAGCAGGACCCTTAACATTTAAAACTTCGTGCACAATATTAAATTTATAACTGTGCACTGAAGCAGAAATTGTAGTAAAAGAGAAGCTCCTGCAGCCTCTGGTGGTGGTGGTGGTGAAGGTGGGGGTGATGGTGGTGGGGGTGGTGGTGGTGGGGGTGGTGGTGGTGGTGGTGAAGGTGGTGAAGGTGGGGGTGATGGTGGTGGTGGTGGTGGTGATGGTGAAGGTGGGAGTGTTGGTCGTGGGGGTGTTGGTGGTGGTGGTGGTGGTGGTGGTGGTGGTGAAGGTGGGAGTGTTGGTCGTGGGGGTGTTGGTGGTGGTGGTGGTGGTGGTGGTGAAGGTGGGAGTGTTGGTGGTGGGGGTGTTGGTGGTGGTGGTGGTGATGGTGGTGAAGGTGGTGAAGGTGGGAGTGTTGGTCGTGGGGGTGTTGGTGGTGGTGGTGGTGGTGGTGGTGGTGGTGAAGGTGGGAGTGTTGGTCGTGGGGGTGTTGGTGGTGGTGGTGGTGGTGGTGGTGGTGGTGGTGAAGGTGGTGAAGGTGGTGAAGGTGGGAGTGTTGGTCGTGGGGGTGTTGGTGGTGGTGGTGGTGGTGGTGGTGGTGGTGAAGGTGGGAGTGTTGGTCGTGGGGGTGTTGGTGGTGGTGGTGGTGAAGGTGGGAGTGTTGGTGGTGGGGGTGTTGGTGGTGGTGGTGGTGATGGTGGTGAAGGTGGTGAAGGTGGGAGTGTTGGTCGTGGGGGTGTTGGTGGTGGGGGTGGTGGTGGTGGTGAAGGTGGGAGTGTTGGTGGTGGGGGTGTTGGTGGTGGTGGTGGTGATGGTGGTGAAGGTGGTGAAGGTGGGAGTGTTGGTCGTGGGGGTGTTGGTGGTGGGGGTGGTGGTGGTGGTGGTGGTGATGGTGGTGAAGGTGGTGAAGGTGGAGGTGATGGTGGTGGGGGTGATGGTGGTGGGGGTGGTGATGGTGGTGAAGGTGGGAGTGTTGGTCGTGGGGGTGTTGGTGGTGGGGGTGGTGGTGGTGGTGGTGGTGATTGTGGTGAAGGTGGTGAAGGTGGGGGTGATGGTGGTGGGGGTGATGGTGGTGGGGGTGGTGAAGGTTGGGGTGATGGTGGTGGGGGTGGTGGTGGTGGGGGTGGGGGTGGGGGTGGTGATGGTGGGGGTGGTGGTGATGGTGGTGGGGGGGTGGTGGTGGTGGGGGTGGTGGTGATGGTGGTGGGGGTGGTGGTGATGGTGGTGGGGGTGGTGGTGGTGGGGGTGGTGATGGTGGGGGTGGGGGTGGTGATGGTGGTGAAGGTAGAAGTGAAAGGAGTGGTGGTGGTGGTACTTGCCTGTCTTTCAGCAACCCGTCCTCGACTCAAGTCCATTACATCCAGCGGTCAACCCCACAGACGCATTCATAAATTTTAACATGCTGTTCATTCAAAACGGGAATTTTCTCAAGTATAAATTAATATTATAATATATTAGCATATTGTGCATATATAGGCATAGGATAGGTTAGGTGTTTAGGTTCTGTTGGCGATTATTTGTATTTGTAGTACGTGGGTGAAGCATTTATAGCATTGTGATTCGAACAAAATTCGTCAGTGAAGCACTTGTTCCGGATATGTTCGAACGTCAGCAGTTGTGAGTCGTGTATAAATCGCTTTTCATTCATAAACAGGGGGTTTGGCGGGTGCATGGAATCACTTTTGGATCTTTGTTTGGAGGACGGGCTGCTTTCAGCACCAGCCCGTCCTCCAAACAAACATCCAAAAGTGATTCCATCCACCCGCCAAACCCCCTGGTGTTTATGAATGAAAAACGGTTTACACACGACTCACAACTGATGGCGTTCGAACGCTTCCGGAACAAGTGCTTCACTGACGAATTTTGTTTCACTCCCACAACGCTGTAAATGCTTTCCCCACGTACTACAAATAATCGCCAACAGAACCTAAACACCTAACCTAACCTATATATGCACAATATGCTAATATAATATTAATTTATATATGAGAACATTCCCGTTTTGAATGAACAGCATGTAAAAATTTATGAATGTGTCTGTGGGGTCGACCGCTGGATGTAATGAACTTGAATCGAGGACGGGTTAACAATGCTAATCCACGGCGTGCTTGCTCGACCGTCGTTCGAGACACCGTGAACCACAAGCGATTTAGTCACATTTGAAACAAGCATCGTGACCCATTGTACGTGTTAGTGACGGCAATGGACGCGATTGTGGTGATGGTGGTAGCGATGTGGTGCAGATACAAGTTGTAATGGTGATTTGTCTCTCATGTTTCTATAAACAATATTAACCGCCCTGCTCCGAGCCGTATTCGAGAATCTCAAAAGAATATAATGACGTACAGCGGTTCACATGTTCGAGATAATAGTGCTGCGCTGCCAGGCGTATCAGGGAAGAGCTTTGGTCTTCATTCGTTTCATTTTTATTTTATGCGATGGCTTCCTAATATATTTTTCATATTAGTTTTACCTAATGATAAAATTATGCATGCATTCTTGTGTGTAGGTGTGTCCTCATGGTGTTATGTAGCTCTGAGCTGTAAGTGATATTACAGGAGCCTATCACTAACAAATTTACAATCATTGCTATAAATTATCTTGAAGCTGCAATCGTAGACTACCTCAGCGGGACAATATAACAGAAAGTGTCTTCCACGCATGAATATATGATTGCGACTATATCTGCCTGCTTGGAAGCTGCTTTCCTAGTGAAGTATAGTGTATACTCATTTACCACAACGCACCTCCCTCCACGCACCTGATCTCCCTTCACGCACCTGATCTCTCTCCACGCACCTGATTCCCCCGCCAGGCACCTGATCTCCCGCCACACACTCGCCAGGCGTCTGGATAAATTTAAACAATCATGCACCGTCATTATTTTTTTAAGGTAATACCATGCATGTGATGACTTCGCTGATCATTTTGTGTTGCATTATTAATCAATATTTTCGTTTCTATTGATTACACTGTAGATAAAAATTCTTCACTATACAACATAGTTATATGTATATTATTGTTAAGGATAGAAAGCCTGGTCAGCTTGTCCATAGGCTACGCTCAAACGCTGCCACCGACCAAAAACACGCTTGGATTATTTTAAATAAACTGGTATTGTTTTCAAAACTATATTTTCTTGGGTGATATATATATATATATATATATATATATATATATATATATATATATATATATATATATATATATATATATATATGTCGTACCTAGTAGCCAGAATGCACTTCTTGGCCTACTATGCAAGGCCCGATTTGCCTAATAAGCCAAGTTTTCCTGAATTAATATATTTTCTCTAATTTTTTTCTTATGAAATGATAAAGCTACCTATTTCATTATGTATGAGGTCAATTTTTTTTATTGGAGTTAAAATTAACGTAGATATATGACCGAACCTAACCAACCCTACCTAACCTAACCTAACCTATCTTTATAGGTTAGGTTAGGTTAGGTTAGGTTGCCGAAAAAGTTAGGTTAGGTTAGGTTAGGTAGGTTAGGTAGTCGAAAAACAATTAATTCATGAAAACTTGGCTTATTAGGTAAATTGGGCCTTGCTTAGTAGGCTGATAAGTGCGTTCTGGCTACTAGGTACGACATATATATATATATATATATATATATATATATATATATATATATATATATATATATATGAATTTTATAAAAAAAATTTGTATATTGTTCGGCCTAGGAGAGGTTGTCTTTGATTATGCTAATAATTTGTATTTGCAGTATGTGAGGGAAGTATTTTGACTTGTAGATTGGTGAAGTTTGTTCCTGGTGGTAACACCTCCTTGTTGTCTAACCCCAAGACTCGCCCCCCTCCCCACGTCCCACTCTCCCTCCCTGCTCCCCCACGTCCCACTCTCCCTCCCTGCTCCCCACGTCCCACTCTCCCTCCCTGCTCCCCGCGTCCCTCTCTCCCTCCCTGCTCCCCCACGTCCCACTCTCCCTCCCTGCTCCCCACGTCCCTCTCTCCCTCCCTGCTCCCCACGTCCCACTCTCCCTCCCTGCTCCCCACGTCCCACTCTCCCTCCCTGCTCCCCTCATTGTTTTATCTAGCGAGTGAACGTTCGTATTTGACTATGCGTGTTTGTCCTGTGTGAGAATGTCACTTGTTAAAGACGGAGGGAGGGAGGGGAGAGATGGGGAGGGAGGGAGGGAGGGAAGAGATAGGGAGAGGGAAGAAGATGGAGAGAGAAATATGGAGGTGGGGGAAGGAGGGGAGATGGGTTGACTTCTAGTTGTTCCATTTATCTACTGTTGCAAATTGTCATGATGAATTTTCCTGTTAATCATGATCTCTGTCCTGACGCTTATAGTTAAGTCACTCAGGTTGTTTGGTCATGCTGCACACACACACACACACACACACACACACACACACACACACACACACACACACACACACAGTATTAGATATTAGAAAGAATTTTTTTGTGTGAGAGTGGTTGACAAATGGAATGCATTAGGCAGTGATGTGGTGGAGGCTGACTCCATAAACAGTTTTAAATGTAAATATGATAGAGCCCAGTAGGCTCAGGAATCTGTACACCAGTTGATTGACAGTTGAGAGGCGGGACCAAAGAGCCAAAGCTCAACCCCCCGTAAGCACAAATAGGTGAGTACACAGACAAATACAAATCATATTGTATTAGTAAAAATTATATTAGTTATTAAACACAGGCCTTACCTGGCTAGGAGTCTTGAGGTAGTCGTGTGCAGGTCCCAATATGGCCGCCCCACAAGCCTGTAGAGACCGACACGTTTATCTCCAGAACCAGTCCTGCCAGCAAGGTAACCCTCATATTCATAAAGGAAGAAATCATATGGACGTATAGCAATTGTTTACAAGCTGTACTTTGACGATCTCAATATTAATTCATTAATGTTTGTGGGAAGCATTCCCGTAACTGCGCTCAGTCACCTCCTAACAACTCCTTATGGTCTCTCACCGCACAAGATGGCTCTATCTGCCAGAGTTCATAAGAGTTTCTGTCAGTTCATAA